CCCGACCCCACAGCATCCCGGAGTGGGATTTGCAGGAAAATAAATCCCCCGCCTTTTAGGCGAGGCGTTAAAATACACGACAGACCACGTGTATGCGCTTTAATAAGGCTTCCACAGCTCAAATGACAATTTTAATCCGATAATGTTTGCAAATAACAGACAAAACGGTAACTGGGCCTTTGATCACATCTTGTGCCTGCGTCCTCCGTGAGATACGGCGATGCGGCGGCGTGGCCGCGCGTCAGCTCTCGGAACCACCGCCCCGGCCCTGGCTAATTCCTTCCATTTAATTTTGCAACGTTATAAGCTCAAGGAAGAGATTTTTTTTTTGTAACATTAAAGAAAATTAACAGCAAATTGAAACAACGAAAAAAAAAGTACCAAGGACTATGTACACAAGCGAGTGCTTCAGTCTGGGAAGAAGAAAACCTCCTGCCCGTTCCTGAAGGACGGAGCGGCTTCGGCACACGGAATTCCTGCCAACGTCTTTACCTTGGGAAAGAATATGCGGGGCCAAATTGCCCCCCAAACCACCTCTTAAGAGCTCCATGGCCCCTCAAACGCCGGCTGCTTCGCCCCACAACCCGCCGGGGACGGGGAGGAGGACGCGGAGCCCCTGCGCTCGGCACAGGCCAGCTGGAATCCTTCGGAGAAAAGAGAACATTTAAAATAAACGCTACCGGGGTTGTCAGGACGGGACGCGTGGCCCCTCTCCCCCGGCCGTCTTGCAGCCCCAAACTCCTCCAATCCTTTAAAAAAAATGAAGCTGATGCGGCAGCAACCCAACTCTCCGCATCATGTTTTGCCACGGAAACAAGTTAAAAGGCTGAAAAGGAAGAGGAAACGTCTAACTTTATTACGGAGGCACCTCGACAGTGCCCTTTTTTTTTCCCCCCCTAAAGTCTGGAAGTGGTACGCTAGTTCCTGCTACTAATAGGCAACGGGGAGAGCGCCTTTCTGGGAGCTACAGATGTTAAAAAAAAAAAAAATTAAAAAAAAATTATTAGTGCATTCCTGAAAAATGAGGAGAATAGAGGGGAAAAAACAAACCCTCTTCCCATGGGAAACACGCCAGCCACCCGTGCCCCCTTTGCCGTCTCCGGTTCAGGTTCTCCCAGGCCATGGGCGTGAGCGCTCCCAGCAGTCCCGGACTGGAGGAAAAGATGTTATCAAAAGTCATTAAATTACCCCACGTTTCTAAAAAACACAGTTCACAGAGAAAGACCAGGTGGTTATTTAAAGATCATCAAACATTTGGAAGTGAAGGCGAGCGGCTGAGAAGCCGGCGGGGGCGGCGAGGGAGGCGGGCCCCAGCCCCTCGGCGATGGAAGGCTGTCGGAGGCAGACCACGGCTTACATTTGGGGTTAAACAGATGAAGGTTTTTTTGTTTGGGTTTTTTTTTTGTTGTTTTTTTTTTGTTTTTTTTTGAAAGAGCTAGACATTCCTCACAAGTAACAATTTCTTTACTTCCATGCTGTACTGAAAGAGTAATAGTCGATCAAAGACAGGATTATCTGTAAGCAGGTTACGCCTAAAGAGTTACTCGAGAACAGATCAAGATGTTTTTGATCTACTGGATTACAACCCCTCCTCGGACAGACGAGCGCGGTGCGGGATCTGAGTCAGGAAATACAGGAGAATGCCTCCGTCTCCCTCGCCTGTAAACACGGTACGCTCTCACTGCTGCTAAGCTTTCCAACCTTCCTGTTGCTTTATTAAATATAAAATCGGGAACGTTCTCTTGAAGGCAGGACGTCCTTCAGTGCAATCTGCTTTGACATAAGGCATTTTTTGGGGGGGGGGGGGGCAGTCATTTCAGAATGGGTTTCTGCCTTCTGGAAGAGTCAAAGAGTTCAGTCCTGCATCCACTTTTGTTTCTTTTAATGCCCTACCGTGTCAAAATCCTCTTCCCTTCTGGTCACTCCTCTGTTGCCAACGCTTTGAAAACCATCAGTGTCCAAGTAAACCAGTCCCTGAGGAGAAAAGAAACGACCAAAAGATGATGACGCTTATGGGACGGAGATGAAGTCAGCATGGGCTTACATAAAAGGGGAGCAGGGGAAAAAAAAAAACACGAAACACAACTGGACTCACCTTTAAATCCTTCTTCAGGCATACAAACTGGGGATGGAAAGAAAAAGGCACAGCGTTAGAAGTCTCCCGACAGTCGTTTCTAAACAGATCTTTTGTCTGAGCGGCGGCATGCCGCCGAGTCTCCCATTGACGGTGACAGGAAAGCTTTGACGTTGCTATTTTCTACCTTTACAACCCAAATCCAACACAATCCTTGGCCACCAATACTTCGCCCAAAATCACAGTGGCAAGGTGCCTTCCCCAAGCCCCAAACCTTCCGGGCTGCCCCGCCTCACCTTGCATAACGTCGTCCATCGCCGCGTAATCCGCAATTGGTTCATCAGCCTGGAAAATGAAGCAGAGCAGGGGATTAAGGAGCAAGCAACCTCGTGTGGAAGTTCACAGCCCGATCAGTTCACGGTGCTGCTCTGGAGGCGAGCGGGGAACAGGTCTCTTGCTCAAACGCTGCCTGGGAACAAGAGGGGAGGACTCGCTCCCTAATTTAGCAGTATTTTGGGCTGGTACGCACACAGCTCAGCAGCAAAGGGCAGCTGATAAATGCTCTTTAGAATACAAAAAAAGAGGATTTTCCTCATCCAAGAAGGAGCTCCAGGGGGAACTCATTAAATTAGGCTACCCAGCAGCCACGGGTGGGCACGTCTAGTGCACAGCAGTTTTCACACGCACCACAACGTGCTTCTCTCTGGCTGTATAAAAACCAGTTCAATTCTCAGCTTTATTCGACTCTATTTTAGCAGCCATTCTCTCGTGTTACCTTTAATAAAATGACGGACTCGGGGATGACTCCCAGGCTGCCGAGCGTTGCCGTGTCATCGCTCAGTATCTTCCCATCGATTGACAAATTCTGGTCGAAGGGAGCAACTGAAAATGCATGCATGATCTGTGCCAACACAATGAGACATGCTGATTTTGTGCGGAGGGAAAAAACATATCGCTGAGCTACACAAAAATACCACCTTTAGAAGAGCAACGCGTGCCTTTCAAGGCCACGTGGGACTTTATACTCTTTCCCTCCATCCCCTCCCAGCCACGTGCTCCTAATCTTGCATTTTCTTCCTCAAGACGACTCATTCCTTGGAAGGAAAACCCCTTACCTGTATTTTCAGCTCTTTCAGCGTCTGATTAGCAGAAACAAGAAGCGCTTTCTCCCCTCTGACTTTCCGGTGCCGGGTGCTTCGCCTGATGCCTTGCTTTTGGTAAGTGACGTAGCTCTGGTGTGAGATCTTCTGGCGCTTCGCGCCACCGTTGGTCTAGAAATAAGAGGCAAAAATCAGGAGCCCAGGTTTGGGATTGGTGGAAAATACAACCTCCCTGTACCCTGGACTGCGTTTCGGGCGAGTCGGTCATGCGAGGGACGGCACGAAGCGCTGAAAAGCCCATTTGAAAGCGAACCACTGCACGCAAGTATCGAGAGGACCGAAGGACTTGCCTTGCAACCTCGGTTCCTGCTTCCAACGCTAGCGCGGGGCGGATTACCAGCCAAGCGTGTGAGTCACCATCAATATTTGATCTCTCCAAAAACAAAGTGACGGTGTGGTACAACCATTAAAATGACAAATTTAAGACACTGTTGTTTTCGCCTGCTAGTGGTAAACAGAGGAGGAAGGCTACCCCATCATGCTGACGCAAGAGGATGATGCAAAAACCAAGGAACCTGGCGGCGTTTTTGATCTCTACCTGGTTAAAATCTGGGTCTTGCTCCCCCTCTGGCTTGTTTTCCTCCCTTTCCTCTTCAGCTTCTGAGCTGCTCACGTTCAGCTCCGGAGCAGCGTCCTTCATTACCTGAAGTCATAAAAATCATTCTCCGTCACTAACCCGACAGCATCGGCCCAGACTGTCACATCACGGCACACCGCTTGCAGAGACCTCCAGGATGCCACCTTGATCCAACGAGCCGAGGCAGAGCAGGAAGAACCCAGGGATCGGCTCCACAACCTCTGCAAAGTCTTCTCCACCCCTCCCCAGCTGCATCGAACCATGGGGGCATTCGGCCCAGGAGAAGAAGCTTCTCTACTGCCTTGCAGGTGCTTCCTGCGGCTCAGGACCTACCCTCCTCTCTAGGCAAAAGGAAAGTCCCCAGGGGCCTGGACTGATTTCTTTCCCATTAGCTGCCTGCTTCTCTGGTTCATCTAAGTGTATTACGAAAGCCCTAACACAGAGAAAGGAATATTATCTGTAAATTAGACACTTATCCATCCCTGCAGCAGACCCACAGAGGCACTCAGCACCATTATTTATGGGTCTGGAGGTTGTAAGTAAATGAAATCTAAATAATTTACATGAACATATAAATAAAAAGGATGTTCAGTTCTGTGTAAGTCACTCCAGGAGGCACAGATCTGCCGGACGTGAATTCACATCTAGGCTTCAGCTGGAGCTGGGGTTTGCAGGAGCCCAGGAGACTGGCGCGCTCTCCATCCTGGATGCCCCAGAGCTCACTTCTCCGTCAATGTATTTGCAATTAACAATGCAATCCCAGCTCCCAAACATCCAGCACCAACCACAGCCTCCCCAGAGCCCTCCAGATTCCAGCAGTGCTGCCCTATGCTGATTTTATACGGCCGTGGTTTCCCTCTTGCAGCATCAGCCAGAAGAGGTACCCAGGGGTTGCAGAGGGGGAAAAGCAGGGGCAAGGGGACGGGAAACACTCCTCAACTTCACAAATCAAAAGTGGCAGGGAAGGAAGCAGGGGCTTCAAGTGCCGCCGGCCACAACCCTCGCCGGAGCGGCCCCCGGCCACAACCCTCGCCGGCAGTGCTGCCGCGCTGCTGGCAGGCATTATTGCTGCTTCGCATCTCGCTGAGGCTGCCCTGTTAATGAGGGATCTTGCAGGCAAGCTCTCGCCCCCTCTCTCCAACTCCAGCTGCTCGGCAAAGAATAGCTGCCTGTTTTTTGCCAGCCCCACGTGCGAGCGTGGTCCCGTCCAGCACCAGAAAAAAAACAAAAAGCAACCCTCCTCTGCACCAGAGCCAAGACACAGCCTTGGGATTCAGCCTCCAGACAGGCTAAAAATCCGTAGCCGATGGCTCAAGATGGTGCTGCGTGCTCTACATCTCACAACCAAGGCAGAAACCCGTCCAGCCTCCGGCACCCTGCAGTTCTCCGGGCTCCAGCTCCTCCCTTAGATTGACAGGGAGGTAGAAATCAACGAGAGGCAAAAAAAACCAAAACCAAAACCCAACCCCACGCTGCAAAGGTGCAAGGAACTCCTTTATCTGAGCTTGCCCACGAGCCTTGGTTTCCCCCTTAAAGAATAAAACAAGCCCTAAGGAGGAAGACTTACTGTACCCAGCTTTTGGGTACCTGCAAAGCCAGTTCTAGTCTTGATACTAATCCCTTAAGACACCAGTAAAGCGGAGACATAATTCACAGCTTCGGAGGGGATCGTGAAAACTATCTCTTAAGTTCACTACTGTTACATCAGCATGGAGGTTAAGAGCCTATTTCTATCTAGGAATAAATGTCACTTGAGCAACCAAGAAAGGAAATGACAAATATTGGAGGGGGAGGTGAACAGGTAGAGCCTGGTAACACGATTACGAAGACAGGAACAGTTACAACACTGCCTAAAATAATCAAAGCTGGGAACATTCGTGAAGATAACTGGTAATGCAAAGGATTCGGTCTGGCAAAAGGAAGCCTCGAGAAGACCAAATTTTCAGAGTAACTACAGCCAGAATTTCCCCATTTGCTGTTTTAGCCAAGGCAATAGCTTCCACGAGCCACGGAGCTGGGTGCTTTTTGTCCGCAGAGAGCAGCCCTGCCCACCACCATCACGGGCCACCCAGCAACCCCCCAGCAGGGACACGGCAGGCTGCGGTAGCCGTCTCGCCACCGTGTCCGGATCATTATTTGGGTGCTCGGCGCAGTTTCCGTTAAACGAAACGGAGCCAGGATGAGCAAGGACCGAGGGAGAGAGCCCATACCTTTTTATTATCCACCACTTTATGGATGTAGATGGTTGCTTGGGTGTACTCACGCAAATCCCGCTGCTGTTGACACAACAGCCCTTCTCTGCACTCTGGACAGAGTTCTGGGGAGGCACAAAGGAAAAACGCATTTAATTGCTTCAGCTCCTTGGAGACACCTGCCCAATGCCTCTCACCGCCAGCCCAGAGCGGATCACATAACCAGGGGCATCTGCCAAGCTCCGTATTTACCACTGATCCCCTTAGATCTGACCCTTTATCTGAAAAGCAGCCATTTCCCAGGGAGTCGGCACCAATCAGCAAAAGAACAGAGCACAGACAGCAGCAAAAGCTGCACTCACGGGGTTCAGAGGTGTAAAGTGCGCTCTCGGGGTCCGCCCCAGCAGCTTGCGTTCGGGTGATTTTGATGACGTGATCCACGACAAAGAGTTTTTGAATCCTCTCCCACTCGCTGGGCCATATTAGAGCTATACTGTGCAAAAGAACAAGAACGTGCTTTATGACATGGAAAAGCCAAGCCCTAAGCTCCTGAACAGCCTCCCCTTTTCTTTTTAGTCTGTTAACGAAAGAAAGGCTGCAAAAATCAATCCATAACCCCAGCTGCACGGGAGGGCCTGTACACCCAAGATAACAGGGGAACAGTAGCGTGTTATTAGTGATGCTGCTTTGCTCCAGTCATGCTGGAGGGAGGATGGAGGAGGAGAGGAATGGAAGATCTGCTACTTTTAGTGCTGCATCATTGCAGAAGCAACGCTACGGAACATGAACTCCAGCCCAGTGTCCAGCGCTCCAGGGGCAAGTCTCACGGAAAGCAAATCATAAGGAAGCTAGATGTTTCTATGTGCCGGTCAAATTCAGGGTACTTTATTGTTAGGAACTAGCCAAGCTGAAGTAAGCTCTCTTTTTTCCTGACCCAGCATCCTTTGACAATTTAGGTCTTGTCTTGCATGAAGGCTAAGGTGGGCCTGAGAAAGCATATGTGTTAATTTTGTTCAAAGGAAAGCATTTGCTCCTTGTGTTGCTGCGGCTCAGCGAGCCTCCAGGAACGTTCCCCAAGGCTCGCGAGAGACGAAGGCACCCGGCAAAGGCAGACGTGTGAAGAGAAGAAACTCACAGTTTGGAGTCTTCTTTGGTCATGGAAGCGTAGGTGAACATGAGACCCCCGTGGGGGCAGAGAAGAACGCTGTTTCCTACCGAGGACATGGGGCTGCATCGCGTCGGCCTCCTGCGCGGGCAAAGGAAAGCGGTTTGCAAAGCGTGGTCAGGTTATTTCATAAAAACCACAACTCTGCAGGCAGCCAAGAAGAAATCACAGGTGAATGTTTACAGAACGCATTCCAACAGGGAATATTAAACTACTACCAACGAGGAAATCAGATCTGCTTTCCTGTGCGTTGCAAAATTACTCTCCTATCTCGCAGAGATTTCCATCTCCTACCACCAGCTGCCCATGGAAACAGGACTGAGCGTTGACCTTTGCCTAGGATACAGCTCCAGACAGATGAAAAAACTAATCAGGTTACTATCTAATCCGACCATCTGGTTAAGACACGGTAAACAAGGAAATTCAGTTTCTTACAAGGTATTACAACCGATAATGAGTCCTGCAAAAATCAGCTTCCTTGTTTCCACAAGGCAAAGCGCAGGTAACTAACTACACACCGCACCAGCACTCAAAAGCAAAATCATTATCTACAGCCCCCCCCCCCCAAGGAATAAAAAGCATCAAAAACCTCAAACCAAGTTACCTGACAAACTTCCTCCATTCTTCTACAAAGAACTGCGAAACAATATACAGCTCGTCTGTCTCCTGGAAGTGAAAAAAAAAAAAAAAAAAGATCTTTTCTAATTAATCCAACAATAGGGAAGTGATGATTGCTCAGCTTTTTCTGCAGCGCTCATTCTCTTCTGAGACCTCAGCATTTTTACCATGACAACTCCATCCGAGCACGCTGGGAAAGCCAAGTGAAGTAATTTGGGATCAAGTACTAAGCACTTACATTACTAATCTCATGTTTATTACAAAGTTAGTTTAGCTTTAGATCCAATTACTTTTAACTCGCAGCAGGAAACGGTCATTTCCCCCGGGGCAGCTAAGACTCCCCAGCACCACCTTTTCTCCCCAGCTACCTGGGGCCTAAAGCAGGTGCATCCCGGCACCCCACAGGTGTGGGGTGAGACCACCCCAGCCTGCTTCATTTGCTTCACCCATCAAAATCCAGAAGTTTCTCCTTTTGGCAGCAGCACGGGTTCAAAACCACTGCCATGCACCCTCATGAGGCAGTGGTTTTAGGATAAACCGGTTTTCCTGTCCCGACTGATTTGCCATTAGATAGTCTGCTCCTGGACAAGAAACCACCTAGATCCTAACAGCCGGCTGACAAAATCCTTTCTGTGCTCACCTATCCTCACCACTTCCCCTAACGCAGATCTGAGAGCTCACTCCATCTTTCTGCAGGAAAATTCAGCACACCTGAGGAATATATTTGTTTTTTAATCTCCTCTCGATTAAATTGCTCTGCTTATTTTCTTCCCCGAACCTCAACTGTTTTGGATCAGGAAAACTCAAAAAGCTTGAGGGAAAAGATTCTCAGCTCTTTTTTTTTCATCCTCCCTTGGGAAATTCAAAGAGAGCGGAGGACGTAGCCTCGCTGTCTGGAGAGACCCTCATATTGCCAGCTGACCCATGGTGATGGGCTCCAGCTTTCCATCACCTACTCCAGCTACAAAAGCAGACCCAACCAGACACCACCCCTGAATACCGCCGGTAGGACCTGGCAGCTCTCCAGCTCAGCACAGAGCTTTTCCTATTTAAACCCTTTCGGAGCTTCCTGGTTCCGAGACACGGATCTATCCTGACCTCAATATTTACTCACAGCTGGAGAAGGCACCCGAGAGCGGTAAGCTGCCCTCACAAGTAGGAGCAACTGAGGCAGAGAGCTCTGCCAAAACACCTTGGCAGGATCTAAGACTCAATCATTAATCAGCACCGTGTGATGTCCAGGAGCCAAGGCGTGGAGCCAACAGCTTGTGCCATTTCTTCTGAGCCGCCTTGAAGCCCCAAGAAAGTCCTGGAGAGCTGCACACTTGTATCAGGGAGAAGCCAGTACGAGAGGTCTTGCACAACCACCACTTCTATTTACAGGGTTTCAGCATTTAGGGAAGCTCTCCCCGAGCTCTCGGGATGCAGGAGGATGCTGGAGCGCATGCGAATTTTGCCTGACCAGCAGCAAAAGCCCAGCCCGCTCGGGAAGGCAGATGGGGGGCAGCAGAAAGCCGCCTCCACTGGCACGGCTGCATCATTTCGGTCCTTCTAGGGGCGGATATAACCACAGCAGCAATATTGTCGCTGCTTATCGCGCTGACTCCGGGCCAGCAACAGCTATGTTGGCACACGAGCCATTCTCGTGTATCTTTAGCAGGGCTTTGTGCCAGCACAGCTAATCGGGGGAAATCACACCTCGGCACAACACACGTGTAAACTCTGTTGGCACAGGCTTCCCAGCGCAGGCACGGTCTCACTCAGACCGAGTGAATGATTATCAGGCAGTGTCTCTCAGGTGAAATAAAATTTCTTAGGGAGAGGGATAAAAGCTAATAAAAACCTCCCCCAACCCCTGCTACGTTCCCCTGGTTGCTTTCCTTCCCGTACCTGAGGCCAGCTGCCCAGGCAAGGTCTGCATTTATCATGAAACAGGTTCTGGAGAGAAGTCTTCTGCTCGCTGGCCATCATCTTATGCAGAGCTTCATTTTCCTCCCCTTCACGCTCTAAAATCTGCATGAAACAGTTAATTATACCACAGCTTCAGTTCCTAGCTGCTATTAAAAGGTGGTATTATTTTCTTCCACTGCACTGGGTCATATTAAAAAGAAAACCAGAAATACGACCATGTATTTACAGTCAACAAAAGGGTAGCATTATTTGGCAAATACCTTGCACTGGGAACAGCACTCTTTGTTATTTGGGAATTCAGGGGCCTTTGGAAAATATTGCTTGAGTTTCTCCCAGGCTTCCTTCGAAACCACCCTCCGTTCGTTTTCAGATATGCACAGGTCACCTGCAGAGAGAGAGCCAAGAAAAGGGCTTTGCTCTTGTCGTGCTCAGCAATGTTTTGCAGCCTTAACTAGATTTAAGAGATTACAGGGTATAAATGTGGGGGAAGATATTCACGCACTTATCAGCCAACACCCTGTCAGCCAAAGAGAGTGCAACCAATACACAAAAATCACCTTCTACTTCTTTACCATTTCCTTGTTTAAACAGGAAAAAAATTAATATGACTTTAATTCTTAAAAATGTGCTTTAGATTTCAAAGCTCATGAACCAAGCACCTGATGAAATACAAGTGGCAGTAAAGAGATGCTCTGAAAAGCAAGGACAAGCCAAAGAGGGCACAGGGCTATGGTTTTCTGATCCTGGCTCTCCATAGCTACATTTTTATGGTGACTCCATTTATCAAGCTGCAGGCTAACCCCATGCCCCCTGAAATGGGAGCCAGGTTCTTTCCGCACTCTTGAAAAGCAAAGTTACAGCTGCATAATCTCAGACAGCTTCATGTGCCCTATCCAAGCACTTCAAAACCTGGAAAGGACAGATTTTGCACCCTAGACCTGCTCGAGGGAAGAGCTGGAGCGTGAAGATATGAAGCAAGATTTACCAGCTACCCCCCAGACAACTTGTCTGCTGTATTGTTTATCCTGATGCTCAAGCAGCGCACAAAAAACCCGCAAGAACGGTCTAGCATGAGGCATTTGTGCTCATCATTTGTGCAATAGGAGTAGCAGAAAGATCACGCTCACGCATTTGGACACCCCGTGTACGCATGACGACACGCGCTTCCGCGGACAAACAAAGCTTGGGAAAACTGGAGCAGGCAAGGGCTCAAGGATCCAACCAGCCGCCTGCTTGCAGGCTTGATGATCACCCAAGGGGAAAACACAACTGCGTCTCCCTACGAGACAGCAGCTGGGAAGGCAAGGCACGGCTGCGCTCCAGGCAGTTGCAGCAAGGAACAAGAGGAACAGTCGTTGCAACACCAAGATGTAAACCGGATTTAGGTGCAGCATGGGAATATTCATGTCTCAACATGGATTTCACCAGCAAGAGGGAAGCAAAACAGCAACTGCGAAGTTGTGGTGCTGAGCAGTGTTCAGCAAAGGGCACGATACCTTATTATCTGCTGTTCTACAGCCTGAAGAGCTACAGAAAGAAGACAGGGAGAAAAGGCTCCTTCCTCCCCACTCTCCGGTAGCTCTTTAATATTACAAGCAGCTCCTCAGGCCCACAGACCCGTCAGCTTTCCTCACTCCAGCCAAGCCTGGAGTTCTGCCAGCCCCAAAGGGAAAAAATAGCAACGTTCCCCTCCTGCTTTTCCTCTAATAAACAAAGGTCAGGCCGGACTGCTTCGATGCAGCACTTAGCCACTTGTTCTTCATCAAACATGACCAAGTGGCCCAGCTTCACCATATGAGGAGGCAGAACCAGGCTGCTTTCCAGAGCCAACAAGGATGGGGAAAAAAACTGAGCTTGTACAAATAAGTGCTTTGACATCACATGATTAATGAAAACAGATTAATACGCTGTTGAGTGAAAGAGGTGGAAAAACCAGATCTGGGTGTGCGGGGAACAAGTGCTCTGCCATCTGGAAGAAGATGATCCCAACTACTGCTGACCCTGCTTCCCCCTCCTGCCGTCCAGGGACACATTTTGGGCATGGACATCAAAGAAGTCCTAGCTTGGTATCTGGAAAAAATTATTCGCTGGGGTCAAGCAGCTACTAGAGAGTGAGAAATTGCAGCAAAGATGCAAAGTGACTTCCTAAGGGAATGCCTGGATGGCCTTCAAAAGTGGGCTTTCCCAGCGCCTACCATGAAGGCAGGAACTTCCTCCACAGCAAAATTAAGGCCGTAGGACCCAGCCTACAGATTTGCTGATACACTCCAGAGGGAAATTCTAAAGGTGGAAAGGTTATTTTCCACGAGTAACTGGAGGTTAGCTCAAGATGATGAAACCTGATCTGCCAGCAGCCCCCCATATTTAATATTATTTATTCTGATATGACCCAAAGTCACAGATCAACTAGCAATTTATCAGCATAATATTTTCAAAGCCCTATTGGCCTATTTTTATCACGTCTGGCTATATTAAATATTTCATCACCACGCTGCATGCTTCTATTTAACAGCAGCAGCCTTGCGGCAACGGGGAATACGGCGTTAAAGGCTCTGAAAAACAGCTAACACCGTGACAAAGTGCTTAAACGCTCTGCTTCAAAATGAGGCTTTACCAAGCCATTACTCTACACCCTTGATTAGCCTTGGTGACAGGAGGTGTATTGCTAATTTATGGCATGTTTCTTTCTCGCTAGGAACAAGACTGAGCATCCTTGGCAGGGAAACTGATGCCTACAAACAGGAGCTTACTAGAACAGAGTCATGTCTGGGAGCGACAGACAAGCTAAAAAAGTGAGATTTAAACAACAGGGTAGCCAAGGATGTAGCTAATGAACCGTCACTCAGCAAAACAACTAACATCGGGTCAAAACCTTATGTAAACGGACACCAAAGCACAGCAGGTTGGTAAATCGATATCCTTCGTGGTCCCAGCCACTGGCAGATAAGCCCGTGTTTCTACAGTTGTTAGGTAAGTGCTCCTATTTTAATGTAAACCAAGAGAATAAATGGATACTCTCAGCTCGCACCTTGACTGATGTACACCACCTGTTTTCCTCCTAATACTTTCAGAGCTTCCAAGTGGCCGCAGATCTTTGGTGCTGCCCTCGCTCCATCATGTCACTTCGTTAGCGAGAGGAAGAGATGCTCCCTTCCCACAGCCCAGCATTTCCCGTAGCAGCCAGGCGACTCTGCCTTGATGGCCCTTTCACCGCCTTACGAAATCTGGACTACAATGTGACAGCGCGCTTGCAAATAAAAGCTCAAAGTTTGAGTGTCAAGAAACACCAGGAAAATGAGATTTAAGCGCATTTCTTCAGTAATTACTCATGTTGGCCTTAGACAGAGCAAAGGCTACAAGGTTAATGTCTTGAGCAGTGGGCAACAACAGATATATTCAGCTCCGTCCCCCATAGAGACTTACCATGTGGGCACACGATGTCTTCATTAAAATTTAACTCCTCTTCCTCCTCTCTTTTCTCTTCATTTGATTCATCTAATTAAAACAAACAAACAAACAAAACAAAACCAAGAAGATTGCGCAGAGTTCCTGTCTCAAGGAAAAGGAAAAAAAATCTTTGGGGGAAAAGGAGCACGGTTGCCTTTCAAATTGCAGCAAAACCCTTAACCCAAGGGAAAGGCTGGAAGGAAATTTGTTATTCTCGAATGCCTTGGCCTCCGGGCAGGCAGGATTACAGCCTACAGGCCACGTAGGAGTGCTTTGAAGTGCCTGGAGCACAAGCCCGCCCTTTGTGAGATTACAAAGGATGCATTTGTTATGGCTAAAACACCACGGGGGGTTCACTGCTCCCAAAGATCTGGGAGTTTAACCTAAACACAAGTCTAGGTAAGAGCGCAGGGAGCGGAGATCTTCCTGGCAAAATATTAGTCCGCTCTTTGCCTTGAGGACACTGATCTAAACCAGATGCTGCCTGACAAACTAAGGGGGAGCCTGCCAGGGGTTTGACAAGCCCCACATTAATGTATAAATTATAGTTAAGAACTGTAGCTCCACAGACAGCGCTGGCCGCTAAATCGGAGCATCATAAACACAATAATGTGTTAGTAAGAGTCTCTAACAACCTGCGTAACGAGCAAGTTGGCTTGTGAGCAATTCAAATGTACCACTGGGAGTTGCAACCTGTTGCGAAACCAAGGTCACCACTGAGGAATGACGAGTAGTAACTCGGCGGCGAAGTATGCTTCTCTCAATGAATGCTCCACCAGCAGTGCCAGCTCACAGATATTATCAGGAGGGCTGTGGTGTTCGCGGAGCCTTCAAGCCCAAGATCAATGCCATTAGCCCATCATCTCCACTTTCATTCAAAGAAGCTTCTTGCCCTCAGTTCCGAAACAAAAAGCTTAACAAAATATCCAGTTTCCAAAGGTTTAAAGAGCAGAAGGCAAATAAAACAAACATCTATTCTCACAGACTCATGATATGGTAATAGAAGAGAGTTCAATTCACGATTTCTTTTTCTAGGCTGTGTTTTCCCAGTGCCAATTTACCAGCCGTGCTGTTTCACCCCTAGACCTTCACAACGAACATCTTCATCCCTTCCCCAAGGTAATTTTCATGTTTCTTCCTCCCCTGTGCTCTCTCATTCACATAAAAGCGTATGAAAAGATTACGTGTCTGGAGCAGTAATTTTGCACAGCTTTGTAAAACTACTTATTACCTCATCTTCTTCTCCAAGTACGAAGATCACCCAGTAGTTTTGAAGCTTATCAAATAAAAAGCTGCTTAAATGAAACAGCTTTTTATTTGATTTATTATCCTTCCCTCCCTACTCATAGAAGGGAAGCAAAACAATTACAGGAACACCTGATGTGTCTTTTGTTAGGGGGTACCAGTCAGAGCTGGTGGGTCTCTACAGCAGCAGAACTACCTTTGTTTTGTGCATTTCCATTAATTTTTCCATTACTGTGTTCCGTGTCTTCATCTTGCTCATTTAATTGCTCCAGAGCCAACTGACGCCAGCTCCGCAAGGATGCCTTTCCAACCCAAAACCCGTCGTTCCTGCAGAGAGAGAACAGCGTTGGCAATGCGAATTACAACTGTTCTCCTTCAGAGCTCAAACAGTAAAATCTTAGGAAAAAGCTATTTAAGCACCTCTACGAATCTCTGACAATGTTTGAAAGCGTCGGGACTTACATACCCCTTGACTGTTATCTTCAGCAAGTTCGTAACGGTTTTGTAGTCTTCGTTTAACTGGTTTTTCAGTCGCAAGATTCGACACCTTTCTACCACACAGTCCTTGCAAAGTGCTTTGACTGGGGCGGGGGGGAAAAGAAACACAATTTGTTGCACACATGGCTGAGCTTCTTGCCTGTTTGAACGCGCTCAGACAGGTATGTACCAACTATCCTGCCTTGTGACCAGAGATTTCACACGTAAATGAGGAGATCCCTGGGGTTACTGCCAGATCAGGCCACATTTGAAGCTTAAATAAGTGTAAAACACTTCAGATGAGGTGCGATCTGTTCTGCTAGCTTCGCAGCTCTCCGCCACTGGTATCAACAGTTTGCAACTACAGCTGTGAGCCAGGTCACACCAACACAGCCCCACGGGAGTCAAAAGGCAGGACGGTTCAGGCATATGCAAGGAAAAAGACTATATTGTGGCACTTTGTCGGTTAAACCCAGAAAAAGAAAACCCCTCCTGCAAAGCTACACTGGACCAACAGAAGTGGAAACCCTACAGCTGGGCATATATTTTCATCTGGAAGCAAGACAATCGCGTTCAGGGAAGCAAGTCGGAGAACGCAGCACATCCATCCATCCCTCCCAGCCGTACTCAACGAAAAAACCTGCAGGCGATCTTCCAGTCGACTAATAAACGTTGGCCTGTTTTTTTTTTTTTCCCCACAAAGGCTGCCTGCGTCACAGCAGTTTCTGCTGGTTGCATTTCTTCCCTATAAGCTCCTAGTAGGAGCTGAGCTAATTTGGTCTCAGTGGGAGCTATTGAGCTCCTCTATAAAAGAAACTAAGCCTGGGGCTTGATGACGGGATGCCCAAAGACTGTAGGGGCTGGGCTGACCCCAAAAATCAAAACGCGTGAGAAATGCCTGCAGCACAAGCACAAAGGCTACCAGGTATGTGCCTCCCTCAGATGAGGCAGCTCAGGACAGGCTAGAGGTGAAAGACAGTAAATTATTTTCTTGGCCCGCACACATCCGTGCTGCTCCGGAGCGCGGGCCGCTGGCAAGAGGCAGCACCGATCTGCACACTCCACAAAACGCTGCCCACGCAGGATCCGCAGGTGCTGCAGGCATGGAAAATAATTTTCAAGAGTCTGGGGGGTTGCATGTGCAAGTTTTGTTATCTTCTAGGATCAACTTCATAAAACCTTCCAAGTATTATGTTTTCTAACTGAAGTGCACCTTTGCTTTCTCAGAAATTGCTCCATGCACACCTCTTCCTATACAGAGCAGAACTCACATACAAATCAGACCCTGCAATCAGACTAACTGTATTTGTTTGAATGCTAACATAATTAAGTGATATTAAAAAAATCACCCGGAAATAACAGCGCAGCACAAAAGCTATGCACAGAAATAAAATTACAATGATAAAGGATGGCTCAAAATGGGGCTGGGACCAGAACAAGGCTCTAAAACACGTTCAGCACACAAGAACGTGACTTGGGGAGGGCATTTTCTAGCCCGGTATCTTACCATTCAGCCGGGGCCCTCCTCCATATCTCCTGTAGAAGAAGTCGGCCACGTACTCCGATATCCTCTTCATAATGGATATTTTATCCGGATGGAGTTTGCCGTGCGAGCACAGGCAGGCTGTGTTATCTATAGGTTTTGGAGGAGTAGACTCATCCAGCCATTTCTGCAGCCATTCGAGAGAGATGAAGTCGTACGGGGAACCTGGGAGGGGAAAAAACACAAAGAGAAACAAGCCCGTACGTGTCAGCTAATACACGATACAGCAGATGGTATTTTATAATTACTCTGATATTCAGCGGTACTTTTAAAAATTAACAGGCTATCACTGTTGATTAAATCTCTGCGGTACAAGTTTTCAAACATCTGATTCAGCTTCTCCCATTCAATTCTCATCTTGGCATTGCAGATTTAGAAGACAGGAGCTATGTGAAATTAAGATATGCAAGAACAAGCGGTCATTTCGAATTCAAGCAATCAATATGAAACAGCAGGGCACTCAAGTAGGAAAGGGAGTGCTTTCAGACTGCTAAACCTTTAAGGGCTTATTGGAGAGCAGACCAGGAAAGGGGAAGGTTTTCCTATCGTCCATCGAGGGACAGATAAAATACTTAAATTATGATCATACATTAAAAGGATCTTTCTGTAACAAAGTGAGCTCATCAGGGTAAATTGAAAAATGAAAGGCAACAACAGCAAAGAGACGAGGTCAGTATTCGACTCAAAATTTCAGTGTTATTCTGGGCTGCTCTAACAACAACGCTGGGCAAGAAACACTCGCATATTTTAAGATTTACAGTGCAAACAGAAACTTGCTCAAATTTTTCAGCACGAGCATGGGTTTTTTTGAAACAGAGCAGCAGGTCCGCCTTTGTTTGCTAAAGGAGAAGCACCTTGCACAAAGCAAGGTTCAGGAGCAGGTCAGCATCCGTATGAGCAATGAAATAGCTTTGGGTGAAACCCCTGTATCTCAAACCGAGACCCAGTACTGATGCGCAAACCCTTCCACGAGACGACTGGGAAATTAGGAGGAAATTAAACCCATTCTGTGCGGGCGTGAGGAGGGCAGCTCTGAAACTGAGGGGAGACGTAACCGTTAGTTACATTTATCAAATGAACACAAATCCTTAATGTTTCACGCAAAGGAGCAAGAGAGAAGTTACAGGAAAATACTTTGTCTTCCAGCTTGCACTGGATCTTTGCGAAGCTGGGCTTCAACCCCTCTTCTCTGCACCATAAATCAGCGGTATTTTCATCTTATGCAACGCCATCAGAGATACACAGCCATGACCTCTAGAGAATTGCAACGCTGTCAGAAATGGTTTGCTAGTTTGGGATGAAAGCTGCCTCCCCCGGAAAGTACGTTTTTCTGGGACAGGCTACACAAAGCTGGCAGAAAATGTGTCTGCACAGCTGCAGAGAGAGTCCTGAGCTCCTGCGGGATCAGACCCAGAGCAGCTCTGGAATAACGCTGCCTCCAGCTGTGCGAGCAAGCTGCTGTGCCCAGGATGTGCCCAGCAGCAGGTAGTGGGTGCCCTCAGGGCACTGCTTCAGGTCCTGCCATCTTCAAATTGGGGCAGAGGCGCTTTACCTGCACTTGTAAAAATCATCTTTTTGAGATTTATTCCTCTGTTGTGTTAGAAATGCTGAGAGCAAACTATTCTGTTTCTGCTAAGCGGGAAAGAGAACACACCGGAGTTGTGCTTGTTGCTCCTTTTTAACGGTGACTCATGGCAGATTCATACCTCCACCACAACTTTGATTTAACGGTGACATTTTAACACCGCTCAGACTTGCGGGGACTCAGCAAGATGAGCTCCAACACCCTCCTGTTCGTGAGGTAAGCACCCATTGTCTGCAAACCCGGGTTCATAAATTGAAGATGCAGACATTTACGGGAGCCAAGGAGTCTGCTGTTCAGCTACCCGAATCTCGCTGCTGGTTCTGAGCATCGAGCAACGAACATTAAAAGCTAAACATCAAGTTGTCTAACAGGCTACACAATTAAACACATTTTGAAGTCTTTAATTACCAATTTCCTGGAGTTTTTAGGAGATGCACATAGTGGAAAGAAATTGCCCATGCCGGATGGATACAGCATGTGCCCCTACGCTCATTTCAAGGGAGATGGGGAGAGAAAAACAAGGGGGGGAATAAAAATCCTTGTGTTCAGACGCACTAAGGCAACAAGACGCAAGGAGTAGTATGAAAGGATTAACCCCAGTCACTCATCGGACGGACTATGAAGCTTAGACATGGGGCTTCAAAGCACTGGCAGGGATGAATCAAGTAATTTTCTGCTGGACATCAGGCACTCTCGTACCCTGTTACCTGCTTATTAATACGGATCAACAGCTCCCAAACTTGCTGCGAGCTGGCAATTTGAGAACGGCCAGTTATTCTGCCTCAATACTACTAACTGCTAACGAGATGAGCTGCTCATCAGGCAGAAGAAAACAGTCACAATGCATGGAAGCACAGAGGAGACTGACTGATGAGGAAGGAGCAAGAAGGTATTAGCGATGCCAGAGGCCATAAGAATGAGCAAAAAAAAGGAGAAAAACAGGCTAAGGCAGAAAAACGAGAGGGAAAGCAAGTCCTAAGCATGCACACAGCAACAACAGACAGTGATCGCTTTCCTCTTCGAGAGGGCGACAGCTAATGCCTTTCAGCGATGCATTCAGGCCACAGAAGCGAGTTGTGGGTTAGTTACAAAACATTACTAATCTTAACAATGGTCTACTACAAAATACTACCACAATATCTTACAGACCAGCTTCAGCGGGTAACCTTTTGTAGAGCTCCTTCACCTCTTCATGTTTGATTTTGCCTCTGGCCACGCTCTGTTTGCGCATCTCGGCCATTTCGTTGCACCACTCCTCAAACTTGCAGTTATCGCGCTCCACCAGCTCCTGCAGAAAAGCTGTTGGGAAAGAAGAAAAAGCAGTCATTTCAAGGAAAAATGCCAGTTACCTTAATTATCCCTGTGATTGGTTATCTGGGGATAACAAGAAAGCCTAAAAATGCCCCCACGCAGCTACTGACATACGAGGTCTTTCCAAAAGCCAAGCGCATGGACATTGCTCTCCAGTATTTATGGTTGCAGATGATTAAATGCAACTGTCCTGCACAATACAACAGCGCCCAAGAAAATAATTTACTCGGGGTTGGTTGCTGCGTTAAGAGAAATCCTTTGCTTGCTAACAAGCCTACGCTGAGCATTGGCAGTCGCACAAAGTGCAACGGGGTTTGGTGAGAGGCTGCAGAGCCGGAGCACAGCAGGATGCTTTGCTGCCTGCTTCAATCCCTCTCTGCTATTCCTCCTGCTCCAGCCATTTCTCTGCCTCCCACCGAGAGCAGCTGCTCCGTGCTGCCAAGGACTCGTCATTCCCAGGGGAGAAGCAAGAGCTTTTCACCCTACAGATACACCTGAAGCCTGTCCCGACGTGCAGCCCTATGGGTATGCGTGATCTCAGTGAGAGGCGTTGAGCACGTCTCAAACCCAAGGGCAAAAAGCCCTCGGGAGAGGGGAGATAAGTTTGGGCATATCCTGGTGTCGACGGAAAGGTGAGGGAAGTGGGAATTTTTGCTGTCGCCGATGGAAAAAAACCAAACAAACCAAACCTCAGCAGGGGAAAAAAGAAGATAAAAACACTTCCCTTGCAGGGCTGGTGCAAGGCGGTGGGAAAGCTCTGCTTATCCGACGCCTTTTCCTATTTAGCACTATTTTGAAGAGCTAAAATGTTTCCAGAAGGGTTAACACTTGTGCAGCCAGAGAGCACAATATCCACCTTGGGAGAATACACGGTATTAAAAAACAATCAGCTTGACTCCCTTGAGGTCAGAGCCAAGTTACGTCTCTCCACTGTCCTGGAAAAGCTGCTTTTAACAGCATCAAAGCAAAATGCCTCAAATTTACAGTTGCATGAAACCTCCCCGGAACCGCACGGCTTGACTGCTGCCCTTCGCTCCCTGTTCCCTGGCAGGCTTCCACGTGAAACAAAGGCAACCGCGGGGCTGCACAGGAATTTGGAGCTGGGTGGAGAGGCTTTTGCCGAGTTATTGTTTTGGGCAGAGGGAGCGCAAGAGAGCTCAGGAAACAGACTGAAAATGCAGTATGCGTTTCAGGAAGGAATCGGCACACATTCTCAAAGTTGTGCGGCTCGGAGGGTGGGTTTTG